GCGGTAATAACCCGCAAAAAAATATAGAGTCGCCACCATTAATTTTTATCCTAGGGAATGGAATATAACAGATAACCCTAATTTGATCAGAGAATCTAAGTTGTTGACTCGTTTTAGACAAAGGGAAGGTGTTAGGCACCCTTCATTACCTTGTTCACAAGGATACTAGGGTTTAAGTTTAAAGGCTTAGGAATAGAGTTTTAGTTTTTAATTAGGGGAACTCGCCACGATTTTAGGTCGTATGCCTACGTATCCTCTTATGAGGAATCAGAGTCCCAATTCGTAGTTCGTAGTGTTTGTTGGTGTTTTTTATAAGATTGCATAGAATTGCTTTTGAATTATCCTTGAACCTTGTCTGGGTTTGAAAAATGAGTGATCATAGACGCAGTTTGTAGTTAATTCTGATAGCAAGTCTATTTAATCCTTTTTCGAAAATGTCATAGGTTTTATTATGTTAGTAGAAAAATAGTTTGATTGTTGGTTAGTTATTTTGACTTTTGATTGGTTGATAAATAGTATGGTAGGACATAGAGCCGGGGGGGTCTGATAAAGTCTCTTCATCACGTGGCCAGATATTGGCCACATGTTGCTCGTCATGGAGGATGTGGAGGGAGCATTTGGTGAGTTGCATGGGTTTTAATGTTTTAATGTTGAACAGTTAATTGATAAGGTGTGAATCCAATCAAAGAATATGTATCTACCAATCATCTTGTTTGTAATATGTTTGAATTAATTTAATTACAAAGTCTAATATATGCACACGGGTTTTAGATTACTAATTCAATCGGTAATTTCAGAAGTAAGTAAAGCTAACAATTAAATTAATAAAAAGTTAATAAACTAAGTAACTTAGTTTTGGCAAAAATTACTAACCTGGTCAATTTAAGTGGTTTAACCCAATCAAGAAATAATAATTTGATAATTAACTAAAACTCAATTAAGAAAATACTAAAACAGAGATTAACAAAATAGAGGGGTATTTAGTGAATTAATGTGTGTGATTAAATCAAAACATTGCTCCTAAGGCCCATCTCAAAGCCCATTAGAAATCACCCTGAAACCTAGACAAGTGTTTATAAAGTTGTTGTACCCCAAAATTTTCCCTCCCATATTTCTCAAAACATTTCAAGAAAGATCCTCAAGTTACTCAAGGAAGTCCAAGGGTTGACCAGACAAGCTCCCTCCTAAGGCATTCTACCTCAAATTAGGGTTTCATGTTGCATCAAGATACTTGAGTCCAAGGGATCCCAAGTGCTTACCAATGACCTAATATTTTCTAAAGATCACCCATGTCAAGTTTCAAGCCTTGCAGAGGAAGTTTGTTCAGTCAATTGCTCAAAGGCCTGAAAATCGACTGTGCTAGGGCAAAAGTCAATTGTGTCCCACATACAGTCAAACTTCAAGATTTTTGGTCAACATCCTTATTTTGAAGTATATTTCATAATTTTATCAAGGGTTGATCATGATTCATCAAGGATTGCTCCCAATTCATCAAGGATTGCTCCCAAGTCATCAAGAACCAAAAGTTGCTAAATTAGGGTTTTGCAGGAAAAGTCAACTCAACTTTGACCAAGCATAAATTTCTCATACTTTATGAGAAATGACCCATCCAAAGCTCATTTTGAATAGGATGCAATGATCTATAATCCATATTCATCTCCCAAGTTCAAAATATTCACTCACAAGAAGTTATGAATTTGGACATTATAGGTCATTTTGAAAAGTCAACAAAAACACCTTTTTTGTCAAGGCTTCATACATGAACATGGAATACCAAATTGAGATGAGACCAAAATGGTTGCTTAGAGGACATCTCAAGATTTCTAAAAAGTCAAAGAAACATTCAAAGAGTCAAAATTGATGAAGTTATGCATTGGTGAAGTTGACCTTTTTTGCAAAATTGCCAAAAGTCAACTATGCCTCAAATTGCAATTTTTGCTAAATGGGCCTAACTTTTTGCACTTGTTTTGAGTTGGTAGAATTGTCCACGAGCCCTAGCTCCTTCCACTTGTCATTATTTTATTTTTATTATTTATTTTGATTTTTATTTGAATTAAATCAATTTAAATCAAAACAAATCATGGAAAAATCCAAAACATTGAAATCTCAAGATATTGTGCATGTTTCAGGTCCTATATCCAGTTGGCAAGTGATTGAATTCGTGCAAAGCCTTGGTGTGCACAAAAAGATTGAGTTTGACCTATTTTTAGAAAGATCTTCAAGTGAATCAAATCCAAATCAAAAGCAATAATTGGCAAAGATTGAGATCATGTTTGCAACCCTAATCCATTCCTCAATACATAAGGGACATTTGCAGACCTAAAACAAGAGGTTGGAAAGGCGCACAAAGTCAGAACAAACTTGAAAAAATCAAAGAAAATTGGTGATTCTATTTTGCACTTCCAGGCATTCTCAATACCTTCTAGCCATCCCAATCGCTTCCTGGGATCACAAGAAAGCGAAACAAATCAAGAACGAGGATTTTCCAGCACCATAACTCACTGTAAGTCAGCCACGACAATGGCTTTTTCTTGAATTCGAACTGCATAATTATGACACTTATAGCATGAAATAATCATATATTCTTGCTCCTTGAAGCCTTTGCAAACTATCCATAACATTTAATTGCATTTTCATGGACTGTATTAGAGTTTGCTATTGTTAGGGTTTGTTGCTTCAATTTGGGATCTTTGTGTACAGGTGAAATTGGGCCATGAAAGGGGCACCATCACGCTCAGAAGGTCCAGACGAGTTGATTCATGGCCTTAAAAGTTATTTATCTCGTTTGTGTTTGATTTTAAGAATGACAGGGTCTGTAGCTATGGACAAATGGTCGTAGGTAAAAGTCTGTGACTTTTACCAATGGAGCGAGGTTGGGGATGACTGGTGTGGCATCATCTGATTGTCTTATTTGAATTCTGGTGCAATTTTGTTTTTCTCTCTCCACTAAATCTCATTATTGTATATTATCTATTATTATTATTTTATGTACAAAGCAAGCTTGCAACGCAGTTGGATTAGAGTGTTTGGAAAACGCTTCAGGACCTGGGTTCGAATCCCAGGTCCCCCATTATTTCATATTCTTTTTCTTTCAGTAATCAGGCATGAGTATAGGTGGGATGACCACCATGGTCCATCAAAATCCAATCATCCAGGTGTCTAGATGGCCAGATCTAATGGCCATCATATGAAAGACCATCATAGGCTTCAGTCAACGCATAGTTGGGAATCTGGCAAGTCAACGTGGATCAAGTTCTCTTGGGCCCAGAATCTGCTTTTGACACCCTCCAAATTTACTTTCAGGGCCATATTTCTTTCTCTTTTCTTTTTTATATTATCTTATTAATTTATTTATTTATATTTACTAACAAATTAATTATTCTTTTTATCAAAAAATCACAAAAACAATTTTTCACCCAATTAAATTTAGGATTTTTTTTTATAAATTAATTAATTTAATTAGGTTATTTAATTTTAGGTAACTTAAATTGTTTTTTTATAAATAAATTAAAAACAATTAGAACAATTAGGGTTTTAACTTAATTATATTTTCTTTTTCTTAAAATAAGCAAAAACACAAAATAGGTTAAATTTAGTCTTTTTTTTAATTAATTTAATTACTAATTATTTTTGTATTTAATTTAAAAACCTAATTCTTTTTCTTAAACCTAATTAAAAACCACAAAAATAACTTTTCTTTCGATTAAGTTAGACGGGGTCACAACCCTAGTTCTCTCCCGTTCTTAATTTCCTCGCGCGCGCTTTATTATTTATGTTTACCATATTAATGTAATTGCTCACAAGTTGTAATAGATTAATTAGGATCTTTTACTTTCATTTATCGTTTTTAAGGGTTTGTTTTTGGCTATGTAAATACCTGAAGCCTTGTAATAGTGTAATTTACTTTCCGCACTTTAATTTTCGTAAAATATTGATTGTTAGATGTATGAATAATTAGGGTTGCATGACAAGAATGTATGATTAACTTTAAAACGGTTAGCTAACCCTAAATGTGCAAAGATAATAAATTGAAACTGAATCACTCGCACATGCGCACTCCTAGGGTACACTCCCACTTCGGTTGCCTTCGGTAAACGGTCATTAGGTATAAGATATTTTAGTGGTCGCTCTCTTGTCTAAGAAAAGATCAAAGTCCCGTTCAGAAAAGTTGCCTCTGAATGGTTGCCTCGGAATTGTTGCCTCAAATAATTGATCTAATACATTAGGGTTATTACTAAGACGTCCTAACATTGCTTTAGTGATCGTACGTCCCTTTCGAATTGACCCTTAAAACTCCGACGACGGTGCTACCTACTCACTAATAGTGGGATAGCACTGTCTAAAGGAAACAAACATAGAACAATTCTTTTTTTTTCGAGTAGGTAGATTAGTTCTTAAGTACTTGCTCAATCCAAACAAACTTTTTCACACTTACACTCCTCTATTAAACAAAGCTTTCAAAAACACTTCGTAACACTCTTGAAGATAAAATCAAGGGTTAAATAGAAGTCAAAAACTTTTCAAATCAAACACACACACAAGCAATTTTGAAAATAATGAGCAAGTACCTAAGAGCCCGTGGAAAACCATGGATAGAAAGGGTGATAATACCTTCCCTTTCTATAATCTACCCCCCGTACTCAAAATCTCGAAAAAAGGAATTTTTATGTGCTTTTTTCCTTTCCAGTTGGATAAAATAAAAGTCGGTGGCGACTCTTGCTTACCGCGACATTTTGCAAACATAAACCAGCATTTTCCTAAAATAGTCCGGTTCTGGCCACCGTATCAGAGGCCACCCTCCCTTCATGCCATCAACCATATTTTTAACTTGGATATCTGCTTGACTTTTCAAAGCCAAATAACTCTAGTAAAAGTTTGACAAGTGGCATCATTTATAAAATTATAAAAAAAAAAGATTACATGATAAATTGAAAAGAAATCTCAATCCAAATGTTAATCACAAAAAAAATGCAGAGTGAAGAAGAAACCTGAAGGGGTGGATGGCGGTGTTGTTATTGATGTGGCTGACGCGACGAAGGGCAGAATCATGGTGGATATTTGTGGGAGGGACGGCCAGGTTCGGACTTTGGCGCAGTGTGCGGGAGGCACAGTTAATGTCTAACGGTAGTTGCATCATGGAAGGGTGCTCGTCATGGTGTGGTTGGGTGATGCGCATGGAGCTGATTCACGGAAGGTGCAAATGCATGGTGTCGGAAGGGAGGTTGACGAAGATGGAGGTGGCCACGATTTTTGTGTTGTGCGGCGATTTACCTAGAGATGTCGGCTTGAAGGTGTCGATGAGGTCCGACGCGAATGCGATGTCGTCAGAGGAAGCTTTATTTAGCTTGTGAGGTTTGGTTGTAATGCTATTTGATTTTATCCTTCCTCTTCTTTTTTTCCTTTTTTTTGGAAACTTTTCCCTGCAACAAAATAAATCATATGGAAAGTCATGTTGTTAGATTGGTATGTTGCTTCTAGTTTTTTCCTTCAGATTTGTGAACTCTGGATACTGTTGGAACTTGAATGGTTTTGTTAATGTTATGAATTTGTATTATCGCTCTTGTGTAGTTTTTAGAATCTTGTAGGTTAGTAATGATTCATTGTTTTTTGTATGAGTTTTATGCAGAAAAAGAAATGAAACCGTGAAACTATTGGGAATTAATGTGAATGAGTTTTAATGGCCTTTTTTAGGTTTCGAATTTTGAAAAAAAACAAAACGCGATGAGAGAGATATGTATTGTGTGTATATTATTGTGATACGGTGGGAAGAGAACTGGCTGTTTTTCGGAATGATGGTTCGTGTTTTGCGTTTGTTTTCGCAAAATGTCACGGTAAGCAAGAGTCGCCACCGTCTTTTATTTTATCCAATAAGGAAAGGAAAAAAGCACAGAAAAATTCCTTTTTTCGAGATGTTTCTCGGGTCCGGGGGGTAGATTATATAAAGGGAAGGTGTTAGCACCCTTTCTATCCGTGGTTATCCACGGGCTCTTAGGTACTTGCTCAAAGTGTTTTCAAAAATTGCTTTTCTTTGTGTTTGTGGGTTTGAAAGAAGTCTTTGTTTGAAAGGTGTAAGTGCGAAAAGTTTTTTTGTTTTGTTTTGAAAGAGCAAGTACTTAAGAACCATCTACCTACTTGAAAAAGGAACTAATCTGTGCTAATGTCCTTTAGACAATGCTATCCCACTATTAGTGAGTAGGTAGCACCGTCGTTGGAGTTTAAGGGTCAATTCGATTAAGGGACGTGCGGTCACTAAAGCAATGTTAGGACGCCTTAGCGGTAACCCTAGTGTCTTTGATCATTTTTCCGAGGCAACCGTTTCGAGGAAACTATAATCTTTGGACAAGAGGGCGACCTCTAAAACTTCCTACACTTAATGACCGCGTTCGAAGGCAACCAAGTGAGGTGTACCCTAAGAGTGCGCATGTGCAAGTGTGTTGTTTTCAGTTAATTTGTCTTTGTACATGTCAATGGTTATCTATGTTGATTTTAGGTTAAACATTCGATCTTGTCATGCATTCCCTATTACCAAACATCTAACAGTTTATAAGTTGCAGAAATTAAATTGCGGAAATTAAAACTAACTATTACAAGGCGTCGGGTATTTACATCGCTAAAAGCAACCCTTGAAATTAAAATGCGGAAAATAAATAAAGCGATAAAATAATTAAAGTCCTAATTAAACTATTACATTCCGGAAACAGATACAATATTGAAATAAATATGGATCGCGTGCAAAAAAAATTAAATCGGGCGCATTCTAGGGTTTTGACCCTTTTGTTTATTAAAGAAAAAGATTTTTGGTTTATTTTTTAATTAACAAAGAAATTAAATTAGGTTAAATTCTTAAATTAATAAACAAATTAATTAATTAATAAAAATTACATTTTTGGATTTTTGATATTTAAAGAAATAAAAATAATTTGGTCAATGTTATTAAAACCTAATTATCTAAGTTAATTTTAATTATTGCAAAAGATATTAAAGTCATTCCTAATTAAAACTAAATTAATTCAATTAATAAAAAATAAAAATGCTGAAATTAAATAAAATATTTTTTGGTTTTTTATTTTATTAAGAAAAAGTTTTAATTGGTTAATTAAAAATAATAACAATAAATAAATAAATAAATAAAATAATAAAGATAGAGAAAGAGTTTAGGAGGTTATAGGCTTGAAAAAGGAGGTTTTGATAGCAATCTGATGGCCCAATAACATGCAGGCCTGGCGGACTTTCTGGAATTCCATGTGGCACGTTTACTAGAGCATATGGTGGACATCACATCTGGACCACCAGATATGGCCTGGGGCCATCTGGCAAGCATTTGAGTGAGGGAGTATCATGTACTGCGCGCTTGAATTCACACCAAATAACCTGTTGAAAAATAATACAAAGCAATATGGGGGACCTGGGATTCGAACCCAGGTCCTCTTGGATTTTGAACCAACGCCTTTGCCACTACCACTGCACCAACGCGTTTTAGTTGTTATAGTATTCAATAATAATAATAATAATATGAGAAACAAGTTAATGGATCGGAAAATATAAAAAATAAAGCGTGAAATATGAATCAGCCAATGGGGGAGGGCCACGTTTTCATCTTCTTTGTTTGACCCTGGATATTTACCTGCCGATTTATATCCACAGCTAAATCCTTATCTGCATCCTAAAATCCATTCTAGGCCATGAAAATTGATTCCAAGCACATGGTTGTGCTCGTCTAGGCTTCCTGATCACGCCTATGTCCATTAATGGCCTCAATTTCGCTTGCGAAGGAAACGCCCAAAAAACACGAACCAAGAACCCTAGACTCGACTATGGGGTTACAGGCCATATTAATGCAATCAAATAATGCAGAAAGCTTGTAAATTGGATTATAAACATGAATATGCAAAGATTTTGCAAGAAAAGTGCAAGAATAATGATATACGAATTCAACTGAAATGCATATTTTTGAGACACTTACAGAGCTTAGGGGCGCGTATAGGGATTGGTTTTGAGTTGGCTTCACTTCAGTGGATATCCAGCAAGTGATTGGTGTGGAGTTTTGCCCTTGAAAACGCCTCTATGCACGATTTCAGTTTCACACTTTTTCACCTTTTTTCAAGTTTTGCTTTTGATGATTCTGCCGCCTCTAACCTCAAATTCGTGTGCCTTTCACTTGTATATGTAATAAGCAATGCATTAGGTCAACAATTTTGGACCGAATCCTTGTGCATTATGGCTTGGAGATTTGATTTGATCCTCCATTGAAAACTTGCTTATTTTGTCCAAAATCCAATCTTTTTGCACATGGAATGGCTGATACGAGTTTGATCATGTCATTGATGATGATTAGGTCCTGAAAATAGAAAAACATCTCATGTAATAAAGTTTTGTGATTTTGTTTGATTTAAATTGATTTAAAATGAATTAATTCAATAAAAAATCAAATAAAATAGAAAAATTAATAAATGGACACAAGGCTGAATCTAGGACACGTGTGGAGTGTGACAAGATCAAATCAAGTGGAAAAGAATGGGCCCATTTGACAAAATTTGAAGTTTTGGGGATAGTTGACTTTTGACAATTTTGCAAACATTCCCAACTTCAACAATGCATAACTTCTTCAATTTTGAACTTTTGGAAGTGTTCTTGGACTTTTTAGAAAGCTTGAGATGTCCTCTAACCAACCCTTTTGGTCTCATCTCATTTTGATATTCCATGCTCAAGTTATAAGCTTTGGCAAAAAAGGTGTTTCTGTTGACTTTCAAAAATGACCTATAATGTCCAAATTTATAACTTCTTGTGAGTGCATTTCTTGATCTTGGGGTATGAATATGGATTGTAGGAAATTGCATCCTCTTCAAAATGAGCTTTGTATGGGTCATTTCTCATAAAGTATGAGAAAGTTATGCTTGGTCAAAGTTGAGTTGACTTTTCCTACAAAACCCTAATTTAGCAACTTTTGAGTCTTGATAAATTTTGAGCAATCCTTGATGAATCATGATCAACCCTTTATCAAATGATTAAATATACTTCAAAATCAGAATTTTGGCAAAAAAATCTTGAAGTTTGACTGTATTTGGGTCACAGTTGACTTTTTCCCTAGCATAGTCGATTTTTGGACCCTTTGAGCAATTGACTGACCAAACTTCCTCTGCAAGGCTTGAAATTTGACATGGATGAACTTGAGAACATATTAGGACATTGGGGATAACTTTAGTTCATTTGGATGCAAGGACCTTGATGCAACACAAAACCCTAATTTGAGATTGATTGCCTTAGGAGATGACTTAACTGTCCAACTCTTGGGCAATCTTGAGCCACTTGGAGATTTCTCTTGCAATGTCTTGGGAAATATGAGAGGGAAAATTTTGAGGTGCAACAGATGCCCCTATTCAATTTTCTTAAACCTGGGGATATAAATTGGCTTTCGGGCCTTTCGTGATTTGAAGGTGGAATATGATTGAACACTAGAGTGCCCAGAAATTTGCACTCGCATGAAGTGATATCAGCATTGTGATGTCGGGAATGGGCTTACAGATTCCATTTGGAGACTGTTGATAGGTGTTCTGAACTTCGGCTGGAATACGAATCAGGGAGATCTTATTGTCGATCTGACTGAACCAGGGAAGGTCTTGGATTAACTTTGACTAGATCGGCATCAGAAAAATCTTCGAATCGATTTAACTGGACCAGACAAGAGTCTTGGAATAACTTCAACTGGAATACGAACCAGGGAGATCTTGTCAATGATCTGACTGAACCAGAGGAGGTCTTGGATTAACTTTGACTGGATCGACATCAGAAAAATCTTTGAATCGATTTAACTGGACCAGACAAGAGTCTTGGAATAACTTCAACTGGAATACGAATCAGGGAGATCTTATCGGCGATCTGACTGAACCAGAGGAGGTGTTGGATTAACTTTGACTGGATCGGCATCAGAAAAATATTTGAATCGATTTAACTGGACCAGACAAGAGTCTTGGAATAACTTCAATTGGAATACGAATCAGGGAGATCTTATCGACGATCTGACTGAACCAGAGGAGGTTTTGGATTAATGTTGACTGGATTGGCATCAGAAAAATCTTTGAATCGATTTAACTGGACCAGACAAGAGTCTTGGAATAACTTCAACTGGCATACGAATCAGGGAGATCTTATCAGCGATCTGACTGAACCCGAGGAGGTTTTGGATTAACTTTGACTGGATCGGCATCAGAAAAATCTTTGAATCGATTTAACTGGACCAGATAAGAGTCTTGGAATAACTTCAACTGGAATACGAATCAGGGAGATCTTATTGGAGGTCTGACTGAACCAGAAGAGGTCTTGGATTAACTTTGACTGGATCGGCATCAGAAAA